GACTGAATTAGGACTAAACAGGAGTAAACCAGAATTAAACCAGTACTAAACCAGAACAGAACCAGGACTCACGATCGGGATGGGCTCGGAGGTGACCACAGGAGAAAGCACCAACGGAGAGCTCCGCACCTCACGGTAAGCGCTGCAATTGCCCGATCGTGCTTGCACTCCAGAATCACACTGCTAGTGATTGAAAATGTAAATTTGGCATCTGAACACATTCTGAACTGTACAGAGACATGGCACGGAGGAGATTGATTGACAATGGTCTAAAGTCCCTCAGACAATCAGGACACAGGGGGAGGAACACAATACGCTGTAAAAAAAAAAAAAAAAAAAAGAAACATGCAAAATTTCACTAAAAAAATCTGTGAAACAGTGAGACCGCAAAAGGTGAACCGTGATATAGCGAGGGACGACTGTAGTCCTGGTTTAATTCTGGTTTAGTCCATGTATAGATCTGGTATCTACTGTATACCTGGCATTGTTATAGTTGTGGTAATCCTGGTTTAGTTCAAAGTCCTGGTTTAGTCTTGGTTTAGTTCTGGTTTAATCTTGGTTTAGTTCTGGTTTAATCTTGGTTTAGTTCTGGTTTAATCTTGGTATAGTCCTGGTTTAGTCAATGTAGAAGTCTGATATCTATACCTGACATCACTATAGTTGTAATCCTGGTTTGGTTCTAGTGTAGTCCTGGTTTTGTCCTGTTTTAGACCTGGTTGAGCCCTGGTTGAGCCAAAGTGTTACAAAGCGTAGAAGAAATCTGAACTGGTGATTTTTGACAAAGACCATCTGTTTTCAAGAACATTTATTTTTCGTGATGTTTTCAGATTCATCCATTTTTGTTTTCCTTTCACAAACACCACTAATTCTGTTTGAGTAAAACCACTGAGTACCATTATACTGCCCCAGACTATTGGGCAATCCTGACAAAAATGAATATTGCATTTTTTTCTGGTGAAGTCCTGGTTCAAGCCTGATTTAGTCGTGCTTTACTACTGGTTTAGTCCTGGTTTAATCTAGTTTAGTCCTGGTTTAGTCCCGATTTAGTCCTGGTATAATCTGGTTTAGTTTTGGTTTAATCTTGTTTAGTCCCTGGTTTAGTCTTGATTTAGTCCTGGTTTAATACTGGTTTAATCCTGGTCTAGTCCTGGTTTAGTTCTGATTTAGTCCATGTAGAGGTCTGATATCTACCTGACATCACTGGTTATAGTCCTGGTTTAGTCCTAATTTAGTCCTGTTTAGATCTGGTTTAGTCCGGGTTTAGTTCTAGTGTAGTTCTGGTTTAATATTGTTTAGTCCCTGGTTTAGTCCCTTGTTTAATCCTGGTTTTGTTCTGGTTTAGCCCTGATTTAGTCCTGGTATAATCTGGTTTAGTTTTGTCTTAATCCTGATCTAGTCCTGGTTTAATTGTTAGGGAAATCACTGGTCGGCCCCAAATATGCAGAAACCAAAAGTATTTATTAACAAAAATAGTCTCAGAAAGGGGATAGGTTCCAGGGGAGGCAGGACGGGTCCAGGTTGGCTGTAAATGCAAGGTATGTGGGGATGAGACTGACCAGAGGCTTGCGGAACAGGTGGCAACAGGATGAGGCTGGCTCCAAACAGGAGAACTGAGGAACGGACAAAAGAAACAGGTAAGAATAAAAAATCTACAGAATGCTCAAAAACACACAAAAAGCCTGAGTAGTTCACCACTGAGTTGACGGAACAATCTGGCACTGGAGAGCAGGTCAGCCAGTTTCTTATTGCAGGAGATGATTACTTGATGGGAACCAGGAGTGGAGCTCAGCAGGTGAGAAGAATTGGGGACCCGCCCAGGAAATGCCAAATAAGGTGAGAGAAGGGAAGAGGGAGCAGGGAAAGGAGGGGTAGGAGGGGCAGAAAGAACCCCTCACATTAATAATTTTTAGTCCTTGGTTTAGTCCTGGTTTTGTTCTGGTTTAGTACTGATTTAGTCCTGATTTAAACTGGTTTAGCCCTGGTTTATTCCTAGTCTAGTCCTGGTTTAGTTTTGGTGTAGTCCTGGTTTAATCCTGGTTTTGTTCTGGTTTAGCCCTGATTTAGTCCTGGTAAAATCTGTTTTAGTTTTGGTTTAATCCTGATTTAGTCCTGGTTTAATCTTTTTTAGTCCCTGGTTTAGTCCCTAGTTTAATCCTGGTTTAGTTCTGATTTAGTCCAGGTTTAATCTGGTTTAGTTCTGTTTTAGTCCATGTAGAGGTCTGATATCTACCTGACATCACTGGTTATAGTCCTGGTTTAGTTCTAGTTTAGTCCTGATTTAGTCCTGTTTAGATCCGGTTTAGTGTTGCTTTAGTCCTGGTTTAGTCCTGGTCTAGTTGTTGTTTAGAAGATTAGAAGAAATTAGAATTTATGATTTTTGACAAAGAGACAACCATCTGTTTTCAAGAATGTTTATTTTTTCATGTTGTTTCCAGATTCCTCAAGATTTATTTTCTGTTCACAAACACCACTAATGTTGTTTGGGCAAGGATTGGGCAAGATTGACAAAAATTAGTATTGTAATTTTTTCTTGCGTAATCCTGTTTGCAAAATTCAGACAAAAGTTTAACAATGTATCAGGAATGAAAATGCACAAAATCAGAAAATTACACCCAAAGGTACAAAAATATCCCCTTTAAACCTAATCTAATCCATTCAATATTCATATTTTATATATCTCCATGACAAAAACTACAATATTCTCTTTTTTTTTTTTTATATTTCCCATCTCTAGTTCAGACTCATCAGAAAAGTTACATAATGCACCTTTAAAGGACCTATATTAAGCTATTTTCTGATCCATGTCATAATGTTTTTTCATCATAAACAGACCTGGAGTTGTGTTTTGTTTCACACATGTTTAACACACAAACTGAAAACACTCTGTTCCACCTTGTGATGTCATGTGGTAATACAGGAAGTGCTCCACTGTTTTTAAACTCTAAAAATATTTGATTAATTGTCAATAATACCAATCCTAATACCTTTCAATTCAAATGCAATCTAGAATATTGTTTTTAAAAACCTTCCAAATAAACATGCTAACTATATGTTATCAATGTATATGAACTGAAATGATCAATCTGATTCATTTAACTTCCCCTATGTAGGTGTATATTGTTTATCTGTTTTCTTATATGTATATTTATAATCATCTGTTTATAACAATTTGAATGTATGTATGTATGCAATCAATTAGAAACTGTTTTGAAACTCCATACACCTTCACTAGTATAATATGGGTGATTTTAACCCTGGAATTGACTATCTCTACTGAACTAAAGATAAAAAGTAGCTGTTAACTTGAAAAATACCACTTTGTGACATCATAAGGTGGAACAGAGCGTTTTGAGCTTTGGAGATGTAGATAGATTGATGTGGTGGCCTCGAAATGGCTTCATGTGGAGTATAACTTGATGACGAGTAAATGTCTCATCTATCCACTGGGCTGTCAGACATGAAGGGGACATTGAGCAGACGCTGCTGCTCCAAATATCAGTCGTGAAGCTTATTGACTCAATGTCATGTACCATTAACCTGAAGTGAGTTTTCACAGCATTGAACACTTTAGGCAACATCACATTTGTGCTGTAGCGACGACTGGGCAGCTCATATGTGGGCTCTAGAACATCTGTAATATGCTGAAACCCAATATCGTCGACAACTGAAAGTGGCTGGTCCAGCACAATGTAGTGCCTCAGTATTTGAGCAACAAAAATGATTATCTTTGGACATTTTCCCTCGCTTCTTGAAAATTTTGGTTAAAGTTGGCTGTTGATGGCTAGTGCTGCTTTGGTGAACGCAGCGTACTTATCACTGTGTTGTGTCTTCAGATGTTTGATTAAATTGCTCATTGTAAATGAGGTGTTTTCTCTTCCATCTCTCGACACCTTGGCACTACATCATTTGCAATCCGCCTGACTCCTGTTGTCCTCCCTAATACTAAAATGCTTCTAACTGCTGACAATGACATCACTGAGCATTATTTACACATGTGACGAGCCGTGTCTTCTGACTCTTGGTCTCCCCTTAGACTTTGAAGTCAGTAGAACAACAAGTGGCATCCTGAATGTGACCAGTCATGTTGTGTAGTGTTGTGTAATAGTAATATCGGTGTGTGGTATCAACAAATGTTTAACGACTGCAGGTATATTAATACCCCTCACTAAAATGCCACCTTAAAATGGTGGAGGGGTTTGAGTGCCCGAATGATCCTGGGAGCTATGTTGTCGGGGACTTCATGCCCCTGGTAGGGTCACCCAATGCATACAGGTCCTGGGGGATGGGTCAGATTAAAAGCATTTCAGAAGCTCTTATGAAAAGAAGAAAAAACAAGGCCAGTTATGTCACCCAGATTGGCGTCACCAGAGCCCCACCCTACAGTCAGGCATGGGGTGGGTGCTCAACAGCGAGCATCTGGTGGCCAAGCCTTTCCCCACAGGGTCTGGCCCGGCACACCCCAAACGAGCAACGTGGAGCCATCGTTCAGTGGACCCACCACCCACAGGAAGATCCAAAGGGGCATGGCGCAGAAAGATCTGGGAGGAAGTCAAAGGCGTGGGCCTCCATGATCGGATCTCTGGACATGGAGACTAGCTCTGGGGACATGGAATCCTTCCTTGGTGGTGTCTCACCGGAAGGACGACCCAGGGAAGACCAAGGACACGCTGGAGCGACTACATGTCTCTCGGCTGGCCTGGGAAAGCCTTGGGGTCTCCCCGGAGGAGCTGGAGGAAGTGTCTGGTGTGAAGGAAGTCTGGGAGTCCCTGCTTAGACTGCTGCCCCTGCTTCCCAGCCCCAGATAAGCAGAAGAAAATGGATAGATGGATATTAATGAAGTATCGTATCAGTGCATCCCTACCAGTAATAAAGAATTACTCAAACATGTGTGAAACAAAAGAAGTCCAGGTATGTTTCTGAGAAGGTAACAACATTTTAACATGGCTTAAACCTCACAATAATCCGTTGAGTGTAATATAGCACCATTAAAACACCAGTGGTCATATAAAAAGGCGCTGTAGTACTCTTAGGCAGTAGACCCAGTCCGGGGGCAGCTCATGGGGACTGATCTTGTTTCCCTCCAGACGTAAGATCCGTAGACGAGAGTACGACGTGGGCCCCTCCCCTCTGCAGAAACTCGTCAGGTTAAACTCTGAAACGAGAAAAATAATGGGAAAATCTAAAAGTCATAGATGTAAATGTCATGTGTGGCATGACATTTGTAATGTGTGCACCAAAACTGTTTTTACAAGAACAAGTTCTCCTTTAGATGTAAATGCTTTGTGTTCTGTCAAAACCCCGAGAGGTCAAACATTTTTCTTTCTATGCACTCACTTCCTCTTAGCTCCAAAGTTACAAAAAACATTTTATCTTCCCTTTTTTAATGTAAATTGCATTAAGATTTTTTGATTTACTGATTTCATTAAGGAATTCCCAACACCAAACTTGAGATAGGGTGAAGATACACACTTTATTGTCCTGTGTATTTTACCCATCTAACAAAGTCACCTGGGCAACCTGGGCAAGAGCAGCAGGTGCCATGGTGGGTGTCATAATGCAGCGTCCGGGGACCCATCTCCAGATCTTGGCTAGTCTTGCTCAGGATTACCTTAGCCTGGGAGATTACTGTGCATGTTTTGGGTTGATGGGAAAACTGTAGTGCCCGGAGAAAACACACTGAGACACAGGGAGAACACTCAACGCCGCACAGAGTTGAACCTGGAATCTTCTTGCTGTGAGGTGACTCTTTTCCACATCCACTTGCATGTGAAAATAAGTATGGTACTGGAATTGAAAGCTGTGGTGTAGAATTTAATATATGTTCCTACTCTCACCATCACAACTTTTGATTCATGGCATGACATCAGATAATAGTGTTTTAAATTGGTTTCCTTCATAGGAGGTGAGGAGCCTGGGAAGAGCTTGGAGTATAGTCGCTGCACCTCCATATAAGGGAGGGTGTAGGAGCATAGGTATCACACAGGTAAACACAAGTATACTGGCAAACAAAGTCTTCAATAACGGAAAATGTCTTATAACAGGTCATGTTTAAAAGGACAGTTCAGAATTTTGGACATACAGCCTCATTTCCTAGTGAGCCAGAGTGTTGGAGACGTGTGGAGACACTTTTTTAAATATTCCATCCAGTCCTTGTATTTGCAGAGGTCGCTGGTGCTAGGCTAGTGCATGTCAATGGCCATAGTTATCCTGCCTCTAAAAACTTCTTACTCAGTCCACAAAACACCCGAAGAAAATCTATTATTACACCAGACTGTCCATGTAAATGTCCGTGTTGATAGAATAATGTTTGAAATAAAACTAACCTTGCATCGCATGAATCGTCACATGTTGAGGGACTATTTTCTCACATATCAAGTCCGCCGCTGCCAAGCTTTCTATCAGGAATTACAACTTGTTGCTGCTGCTCAGACATAAATCCTTCAAATGTATGGTTGGTTTTACTTCTAAAATTATTCTGTCAACACAGACATTCGCATCTAGCCTGATTCATCAGCCGGTTTTACTTTGTTTCACTTTGTACAAACTGTCTTAGATTTCGTTCGCTTGACGGTAGGAGGGTACTTTTTTATCATTTAACCAATCGCTGCTATTTGGTCATGATGTATGTAATGCACCGCTAACGGGGCTAACTAGTATATTAAGTTTTTCCCAAATAGAAGAAGAAGGTCAATAACGTCTTTCCCCTTGATGAAATTCACCACATTCTCTTTGTTCCGGCTTTAAATCCTCGATCTCTGGAATTGTTGACAACACAGAATATATGGCTCTTCGCTGATTGGCTGGTGCCCAAACAGTCTATTGTATTTTGATTCCTGACCTAGTTGCTGGAGAGAAATGAAATTGAGCGGAGGCACTAGGTGGCGCCAGTCTGGCTAATTCACATCAAATTTAGTGGCAGGATAACTATGGCCATTTACATGCACTAGCACCAGGGACCTCTGCAAATACAAGGACTGGATGGAATATTTTAAAAAGTGTCTCCACACGTCTCCCACACTCTGGCTCACTAGGAAATGAGGCCCTATGTTCAAAATTTAATATGGCAAATCAGACTGAAACACAACAAAGGAATATAAGGAATTTATTTAATGTGAACTAAAATATCTTCCAAAACTGGGAAATACTCTTAGTAGAAAATGGGTTCAGAATAAACTCAAACAGGTACTACAAACAGGGTAAAAAGCAGAATGCACAAAAAACAAACAACAGAATTCAATTTCAGAGTTTCAGATAAGGAGCTTGGGTGTCTGTTTTGACTGGTCTAAAATCTAGCCAAGACTGAATCAACAGGGGGAGTATATATAGACTAGCCTGGGATGATTAGGGAATGAGAGGCAGTTGTAGGAAAAGGAGGGAGGTAGCAAAAGGAGGACCAGAACAGATTGGGAAACAGAGCTGGACTGAGGAAAACGTGTAAACAAAAGGCAGAGCTGTGACAATAGGCTTGTAAATCTATAGAAATGGAAGGGAAGGTTTCAGCAGTGGTCATCTGGACACTATTTTTACAGTCAAGACATTTGAGCTCCCATCTAGAAGCCAGTTTTAGATCAGTGGAGAGGCGAGCCTTCTTGCAGAAACAGAGTCCAGATGAGCACTGTTAAAAGCTTCTCTCCACTGAACCACTCCTGTCTGAATGAGGGATTCCACACGAGTATAGGAGAGCAGCGTGAACACTATCTGTGGACCAGTCTGGGAGTCATTTTGTTTTATCTTCAGGCCAATCGATCTGTGTAAAAATCTGCAGAGGAGTCACTGAAACAAAAGGAGCAGATTCTGGTAAAGCCACATGTGAAAATCAGACTCTCTTATTTATGTTTTTCCCCAGAATGGCTTTGACAGCTGATGCTCATGAGCTGTGTGCACAGGAATGTGCTGCGCTCCTCTGGCCCTGAGCGCACATACACGTGCTCACACTCGCACACAAACACACACACGAACACACTCACACACACACGCTCCCACATACACACACACACACACACACGTGTTGGTTCCCATGCTTTTTGGGGACAAAACACTGACGTCCATTCTTGATGACATGAAGACTGATCCTTTTACCTTAACCACAGTCACTACTGCAAATGTGACTCTTGTGAACTTTGAGCCATGTTATAATGTTGTTATCTCATCAAAAACATACCAAGACTTGTGTTTTATATCATTCACACGTTTGATTAACCCTTTATTATTAGTCTACATCTCCAAAGCTCAAAATGCTCTGTTCCACCTTGTGATGCCAAGTGAACAGCTCCTTTTACCTTTAGTTCAGTAGAGATCGGCAATTCCAGGTCTGAAATAATACAAATGTTTCTAGTGAGTGAATGTGTGTGGAGTTTAAAAACACAATACAGCACTCACAAGGTGGAACAGTGTTTTCTGTTTGAGAGAAGTCAGACTAAATACACAGAGCTTGTGTGTTAAACATGTGTGAATGAAACAAAAAACTCCAGGTCTGTTTGTGATGAGGAAAACTACATTAGAACAGATCAGACAATAGAACCATATTGTTGATCTAATAATAAAGGCTTTAAAAAATTAGGGCCTGTTTTTGAATGACAGGTCCTCATAATGTGGACAAATCTTCATGTCAAAGCCTGATCTCGTCAGATCTCAGAAGCTGAGCAAGGCTGGGCCTGGTTAGTTCTTGGATGGGAGACCGATGGTAATTCCAGGTGCCACAGTGGGGCGCCTATGTCAAAACACTTTACCCACAGTGCCTAGGATGAAAGTGGAGTGTGTGTGTGAGTGTTGGTGATAGTCCAGTGAGGTTCATTTGGTCTTCCGATAATTAATGTTATTAGGTTCTTTTTTCAAGTTTGTTTCCATACAAGCTTCGACTGCTTACTAGCGCTTTTCCTCAAAGTGGTCACATGGGACTGTAAATTGGGACGAGGGGGCTTTTTTACTCTCACACTCCTGGGATACTGTCCTGAGAAAGTCGGACTGCAGATGGCGCTGTCGTCCTGCCTCCCCTAGTAGGAAGACAGCACACATCACAGCAACATCACGTGACTCTGAAGAAGAGCGCAGGGAGCAGTTGAAACTGTCAGGTATGAAAAAAAACTCTTGGTCTGAAAAACAAACCTAATAACATAGAGTGTTGGTGATGGATGGAGGATGCAGATTGACAGCCTTGCTTCTGTCAGTCTGTCCCAGGGCAGTTGTAACTTCAACAGTAATTTACCATCACCAAGTATGGAGTGAATGAATACTGCTCTGTAAAGCACTTTTGGAGTCTTGAAAGGTGCTGTATAAATTCAATGATTAAATTAAATGAATGAATGAATGTGAATGTATATACAGGATTTAGTCCCCACAATGTTACATACACACACACACACACACTTGCATTCTTAGACAGAAGAGAGAGTACTCATTTTATAACAGCCTCACCTCATCGTCTAAGGCTGCCCCTGACCTGGCTCTTACTGCAAAAGTAACACCATTAAAATGACTCCAGATGACTTGAGTTCATGACATAAACTGGACTTTCACATGTTTTGACTGGTAATTTGCATTTTATTTTTATATTCTGGATTTCTCCCTGTTTTATTACAACATTTGTCCATTTCAATCTATCAGCTGAAAACCAAAAATGTGCTTAAAAAGAAAGAAAAATCACACTGATATAACATAACAACCCCACAAGTTCAGTGCCCTAGGTCTAAGTAAATCAAATGTGTTGATGTTGGCAAGAAACTTTCAGACTATTAATGTTAGTCTGTATCTGTATTTGTTTTTTTGGTTTTTTTTACGCAACAGAGGTATAGTGGACGTGGTACGTGGGGGTACACTGTCCACCCACTTCTCCTGATGTGAGATTTAAAAAAATTACAAATATAAAAAAGCTACAACTTAAATGTCAAACAGGAGCTACTGGCAACTGTGAAAATCAACTGCATAGGCTCATGATATCTGCAGTACTGTCTAGAGCCCGACCGATATGGATTTTGTTGTGGCCGATATGAAACAGTGGGATTTGGAGCTGCCGATATAATCGCCGATATATTTAGTGATGTAAAAATTCACTGTAAATCTTGAATTATTTTTAAAAAAAAAACTTAGGTTTGGCTCTGGTGGATTTTAAACTGGGTTTATTTAGGCAACATTTATTGTTATTCTGCGTCTTTA